CAGTCCTCCTCCATGGCTCCCCCCTCCGTCAGCTCCACCGTAGGCCGCCATTATGGCTGTGGCTTGGGTCCTGCTTGGCCCCTCCTGTCTCCTCCCTGGCTCCTACCTCCTTTGTCGCTTCCCTGGTCTCTGTCTGCCGGCCCCCTCCCAGTTGTCCGTTCTCCTCCTGAGCCTACTCCTTAGTTCCCCCCCCCGTTGTTCTACGGTGCACCTTCCTTGAGGGGGTGAAATGTCAGGATTGGACCTGTTTTGTCTTGTGTTTCAGTTCCTGTTTTGCCTTATTTGGTCCTTCCTGTTTCCATTAGGTTCCCTGATTAGTTCATCATTTGTTTCCAGCTGTGTTTAGTTAATTATCCTCATTTCCCTGTGTACTTAAGTCCTAGTCTGTTCAGTATGTGTTTGTCAGGTCTACTCTGTGTGTTGGCTCAAGCTCGCATTGTGGATTGTCTCCTGTGTTTCTTGATTAAAGACTGTTAAACATTTCCTCGTGACTCCAGCGTGTTCCCTCAACAGTGTAGCGTGACAACCGTAGGACACTGCCCCAGTGACAGCTTTATACCTTTTTTCTGGGAGTGCAAAATGTAGATATCTGCAAAGGTTTTACATGAAATGGCTTGACGAGCAGTTTTCTGTCCTGTTAAAACAGAAAGTTGGGCCTGGACGTATTGCTTAATCTTAGTAACCCTCCTGTTCATGCATTTTAATGCATCTGCCAGGCACTTTTATCTAAAGTGACTTACATTTACGGTATACATTTTATAAATCCTTGCATTCCCTAGGAATCTAACCTTTGACCTTGATATTGCTAGCACCATGTTTTATTACAGGAATATGAGTTTTTGAATGGAATTTTTAAAGGATTTTTAAAAACAAATCTGCTTGCTATCACTAGTCATTGAATGGGGGAGGGACCTTCTTATTAAAGAAAGTGTTTGATTGGACAAAAAGAGTGAGTGCAAGATGGGTCAGTATTTTTGCTACTGACTTTAAAGGTTGTTTAAAGACTGATTTGTTTACTCTGGTTATTTGACATATATGGTATTGTTATATTGTGCATTATGTAGGATAGACGATGCCAAAAAAGAGTTAACATACTGTCATATAGATGGCATCAAAAATGCCACTCAAAAACTCAATTTTGATATTTAAACCTGTGCTGTTTTTGTCACTCACCACTAGCAGTGCTATAAAGATTGGGGGAAAAAATAAACATTTTTAATGTTTGTGAAAAGGCCAACAATAACTCCTCTGTCAAATCAAGTGCACATATAAGAGGAGCTCTTAATATTCTCAGCGTTGGAGGTTTTTCTCAACCAAATGTTTCAGCACTGTATGGTTTATATGATACTTCCATATTGCTTGAACGTTCATCTAAAAGCTCGTCGAGAGATGAATATGAGATTTGTGACAGTGTCATTGAAATGGTGTCCTGGTTTCTTTTGTCCCTTCAGGTATTCAGTTCTTCACAATGGAAACCACACTGAACAGGAGAAACTGTCAATACAGAATGACACAGAGTCCCAGGAGTCATGTTTCTGACACAGGCCAGCCTCTGATGAGGAGCATCACTGGAAGGTGCCATTTCTCACCACCCTGCCTGCAGCTCAGACCCGACCAGAGCCCTTCAGGAGTCGAGTACAGGGAGCTGCACTGAACTGTTTGCTCAAAGAGCTGCTGAACAATGAGGGAAAGAACAATGTTGCCAAAGGTATCTGGTCTGTATTTTAGGATACGAATTTCCATTGCAAAGGAATGTTGGTAAGGGTTTTCCCAATGTGTTTGTTTCCTTTTTGGTTCTGTGAATACGACTTCCACACCAAAAACACGTCTTTCAAGCTTTATCCAGAGCGGCTTCTATTAGCTCTACAGTCAGGATAACACTTCCTGAAAGCTACGGCACGGATGCTGAATAGCTAAGACTCTATTAAAAGAAAGATTTATTTTTGTTCTATAAATGAAAAAGTAAATTCACAAATTCACACCACAGTATTAAGAGGTAGAGCTGGGAGCATTGCTGAGCGAATTCTCCAATCTTTTTTTATTGTTTCATTAATGAATTCTCAAATCAACAGTTATAATATAGCATGGTCACATGAATTTAAAATTTTAAGTGTTAAAGACAACAGGCCTTTCCTTGTTTCCAAGACAATTCCAGCATTTAAGTGCAACACAAGTAATGCTGCATAAAATTTCTATTAATACAGCCTATTTCAAAAATGTATGGAAGCCCGTTTCCGACACTGGATAAAAAAAAAAAGGTAATTGTGAATTTTATCTCACAATACTGACTTTTTTTCTCAGAATTGTTTGATAGAAACTCGCAATTGCAAGAAAAAAAAAACTGAGAATTACTAAATTTAAACTCGCAACTTTATATCTCGCAATTCTGACTTTATAACACGCAAATGCAAGTTAAGTCAGAATTGTGATATATAAACTTGCAATTGTAAGAAAATATCAGTCTTTTTGCTCCTCAGAATTGGACTTTATAACTCGCAATTGCGAATTTACATCTCACAATTCTCAGAAAAGAAGTCAGAATTGCGAGAAAAAAGTCAGAATTGCGAGTTTATATCTCACAGTTCTGAGAAAAAAAGTCAGAATTGCAAGATGTAAACTTGCAATTGCAAGAAAAAAAGTCAGAATTTTTAAGATAAAAGTCGCAAATATATATTTTTTTTTATTAAGTGGCGGAAATAGACTTCCATAAAAATATGCCCCAAAATTGTTCAAAATGATTTAATAAAAACATTACTTTTAAAACTTTTTAGATTCAAATTAATCATCCTTATACAAAGGATTTTGACAGGAAATTAACTTTTGTTTTCTTCTAGTCATGAAATCTGGCTTGACGAAAACATAATATCTCCATTTTCTTATTGTGAACTGAAATCTCATTTATGTTCTGTAAGACTTCTGAAGCTCTTTGGGGAATGAGATGTACTGCTCACAGGCTAGTTGATGTAATTTAGCTCCTTGTAAACCACTCTGAATACGCAGATGTCTCAGACTTATGGGTGACCGTTCTCAGTCAGGACAGATCTGCGCTTCACATGCATCACTAAATGCAGCCATTTCCACGATAGTTTCCACTGCGAGGATCTCCTCTAATGTGATTCACTGGCATAAACAGCGCAGTGTTTTTCTGAGAGTGCTAAAACTACATGATGCCTGCTGACTGAGAATGTGTCAGGCCACTCCAAACAAAAGCTTTGCTGACAGCAACCAGGGCCAGTTCTCCCAGATGCTGTGTCTTAAAATGTTTTAGCTTTAGTAAAGATGACCATCGGTTACCGCAAGACTGAAATGTTTGAAAAGAAATGACCTGAAGTTGTTCTTGCAAAAGTTCTTAAGGGATAGTTCATCCAATAATGACAATTTACTTTTGTTATTTATTCACCCTCATGTATTTCTTGTGTTATATTCTAAATATTTTCGATAGTCCACTTTAGACATTCTACTAACTATAAGTAACTTTGTAACTGCATGTCAACTACATGTCAACAAATTCTAATTAATTTGCAACTACATGTCTACTAACTCTCAGAGTAGACTGTTAGGGTAGGTTTAGGGTTAGTAGAATAAGTTGACATATACTTGCAAAGTTTCTGATAGTATGTTGTATGTTGTTGACCCATCAAAATAAAGTGTTAGAAGATATTAAGCAGACAGTCTACTAATACTCTAATGACTGCTAGTTGACATGTAGTTGCAAAGTTACTTACTGTTAGTAAAATGCCTAAAGTGGACTATCGAAATAAAGTGTTACCAATATTTTAAGTGAATAACAACTTAAGGTACGATCACATTTACTGTTGTGCAGTGAATTTTTGCAGGCGAAATCCAGTCATTTCAATAGGAATCCACACAATTGAGAATTTCACATAAAGGTGAAAGATTTTGCATCGGGTTTTAAGTTGGTCAAGCAAATTTGCCACATTGACCGACAGAAATCTGCTTGGTTTGAAAGTGACTTCTGTGTGAGCTGTGCTTCAAACATTTCTACACTGTTGAAAATAGACAGTCGAGCTTTTTGCCTGCAAAATTTAACCTGAATTTCTCTAATCGAGCTATTTTCATGTGAGGAAATACAGCACGAAACATATTTTTGTAAAAGATATGTTTTGCTTTTATTTTTATTGGTTCCTTATGAAGTTTGACATGCTGAATACAAAAAAAAATCACATTATTGTTTTGTGTATCATTAACATTGCTCATGAAAACTAAAAGAAAAAATGTTGACAAATTATTCAAGCTAATCTGCTATTACTCATGTATAAAAATGACATAGTACATGCATAACAGTTTAACATAAACATTTAGATTTTTTGTCTTTTATGACTAGTCCTGCAATGTTCTGGGATGTTCCTGAAAGCACTAGAATATCACAGAAAATTCCAGAATGTTACAGAAAATTCTAGAATGTTCCCATCCTTGCAAAAGCAAAATACCTTAAAAAAAAAAACATGCAAAATAACTACAAAAACTCATCTGTACTAAACCGATGTTTCATAATTAATGAGTCCTAAAATTAACCTGACCTAAATATTTACCAAAATATTGATGCTACACACTAAAAAATGCTGGGTTAAATACAACCCAGTGCTGGGTAATCAGCACCACAGAATTACAGAAGCATAAAAAAAATTAAGTGAAACATTTAAGTGATATTCCATCGAAGAAATGAAGTCCAGGTTTGGAGTGACGTGAGGGTGAGTAAATAAAGAATTTGTATTTTTGGGTGAATTACCCCTTTAAGAATATGTCACGCAAATGATTCCTATATGAGGAGAGGAAATACAGCTGCTGCAGAATGTTGTCCTGAGAAAACAAATCTCATGGAAAAACCATGCAGATGAATTTTTGTTCTTCTAACTGAAACCTCCCAAAGCAGTGATGTGCCATACTAAAGCTCGCTTCCAGAGCTGAGGACCCCAATAAACACGCTCCTCAGAGAGCCTGGATATAGCAGAACTGACCCAGAACAATCTCCATCCCTCATTCCAGCACTTGCCAGTCTACTGAAGCGTGCCTCTGCCTAAAATGAATTACCTTCGGGAACAGCAATTGTTTGAATTGATCGAAGAGATGTAAATATTTTCAAAATTACTACGTTTTATGTGTCAGCCATCAGAAAAACAGGTTTGGTCTTAATTGCTATTTTGCAGGGATGTACTGACAGCGACACACGCACGCCACTAAAAATGAAACATGTACAGCTCAGCACTGTCCTCATGCATCAGTTTCCTGATTTTAAAATGAAAACCTCTCCTGCAAATAAAGCACTTGTGGCACTTTTACAATACGAAGATTATTGCATCCACAAGTCGTTCAATATTCTGGTCACGAATATGTAATCGCAGACCAAACCAATATCATATGAGGAGTATGAAAGTTGAATTTCGTGATCAGTTTTAATAAGCGTAATCATTCCGCTGTGGTGATGTGATGAAGGAACAAATAAGACACTATTATTTGTTCCAATGCGAACAGAGCTAGCTACATTACCTAGCTCCATGCCCACTTTAACTTTCTTTTCTCATCTTCTCGTGTTTTATCAACCGATATTTAATTTCTAAAGGTAGAGCTTAGTTTGATTTTATTGTACATAGGAATATATTTTTATGCAAATGATTTGATAGTGGTCAGTGTGTTCCTTTAAATGCTTTAGTCGAACACGTTTCTTCTTCCAGTCTTGTGTATCAGCGAACGCTGACCATGAATCTAGCGTGTCATTGGAAGCAATGTCCAGATAAGTTGTTTTTTTACAATCAAACATGTACATGGTCGTGCCTTCACAGCTATCTTACAGATGTACAGAGCATTGTGAAACTGTGCAAGTTCATGCTGGTAGTGTTCGAAAATGTTTCCTTTAAAGAGGTTATATATTGTACAATCAAAGGCAAACTCAGCTCTGATGAGTTACAATGTCCAAACTATTTCATTTGTACACTTTCAGTTTATGTAGCACCTTTGAATTCTGAGCTACTTTGCCGTTGTTTAACAGTAAGCGGTTTTGTTGGTCGAACAACTTGCACAATTTCCCATCTGTGTTCTTTGGATGTCATTATTATGTTGTTTAAAGATGGAGATTTTGCAATGGTTGAAGCTTAGGAACCGTGAGCAGAAAACAAGAAATACATGCTGTTTTGAGCGCTAATGGATGTGGAAGGAAGGATTTGGGGGAATGCTGGTACTCCATAGCCATGACAGAACCAAAAACACTGCTACATGAGCCCTGAGTTATTGCTTTGAAAAGATTTGCGTCAGAAATAACTCTCCCCGAACCTTCGTGGACCTTCAGGGTAGTCATTACCGTCAGGATTTCATGCGAAATAATGCAAACCTCACATATGAAGCGTGATCGAACACCTCGAGGCCCTGAAGGCAGAAGTTCTAAGCATGAATGTGTTGTAAATCTCCCAACAAGTTGTAGAACTTTTGTAAACTCAGTATTTATTTTGATGGATTTCAGATTGATATTTTCATGTAAGGCTTCTCTTTCAGGGAGCTATGTGTATTACTTTTTCTGTTGCTATGTGACAGCTCTAAAAAATAATAATTAAAGACTACGAGATGTTATTAATCCTTATGTGTTTTGTGTTTTATCAAAATATCTCGCCAGATTTGCACACTAACAAACATACGGTTAATCAAAATCAATCCTTGTATATTCTATTTAAAGATGATATAGACAGATCATCATGAAGCAGAATGATATTTTTGGATACA